TTTTCATACAATGTTGACAGGGAGCGTAAGGAAGAGATCCATGATGGAACGGGTGAAAAGTCCAATGTGTTATTGCTCAAGTCTCTGTTACAGTACAATCACATGATGGCACTAGATTGATTAAAACGAATGATAGACAAGGGTAGTGGTCGCGGAAGAAGAATATATATAAACTTACAATGTGTAGAGATTGGTCAAGCTGGTTAAATTTGGAAGACTACCGGTAAATTTGTTGTTGGCCAAGTACCTGAAATGGATTCAAGTACAAATTCGTTTACCTCTTTTTCATTTATATCTACAAACACAGAACAAAACTTTAGTTGCTCACTTACAGTTCGTTAAGATTTGTGAGATTATTAAGACTTGAAGGAATAACTCCAGATAGTCTATTCCTATCAAGGCGTCTGTAACACAGAAAATACCATCTGAGATTAAACATGTTGGAATAGAAAAAAGATTTTGAACAATCTTTTACTACTTACAACACTTGCAACGTTTTAACAAGGCTGAGGGAAGGTGGGATTTCGCCTGTTAATTCGTTTCCATCGAATAGCCTGTAGTTAAAAAAAAAAAACAATGCAATCAATAATTTAGTTACTAATCTCTTATCTTTCACATGTACTGTGAAACTTACACATGTATCAAAGTCATGTTCGAGCTGAAGAGCGTCGTTGGGATGTCGCCCGAGAGCTTGTTTTTTCCAAAATGACTACCAGAGAAAGTGATGGAAAGTCAGTTTAGTATATGAAAAAAAGTGATTATATACAATGAAATGGAAAGATTAGGGATTTATATATACAAATGCTTAGTTTCAAGAAGCATGTCAAGTCCAGGTGAAGAAGTCCCATTAGAAACTGGAATTTTTCCTTCGATCTGATTGTCAGCTATATCAAACCAATATAGTTTCGATAGTCGTCCGATGGAAGCCGGAATTGTTCCACTAAATTTATTAGAATTTAGGGAGCTGTATGGAAGAAATAAAAAAATAGTTTTAATTGGTTTAGAGTGCGCAAAATGAAAAAGAGATGGTTTATGCATGATAATAGGAAGCAACTAAATCTTACAGATATATAAGTTGTTCTAGAGATCCTATAGATTCAGGGATCTGACCACTGAAACTACATCCCACAAGGATCCTGGAGACCAAAAAAAAAAAAGAGTGAGTTAAGATAGAAAAATAGACAAGTCAGTTGTGAATGGGTCATGATCTTCTTTCTTACAAGTTCCTCAACTTCTTAAGGTCACCAATATTTGGTGGAAGTGGTCCGGACAATCCAGGACTAAATGACAAGTCCCTACAGAATTGGATCAAAAGATGAGATCAAAATTCATTTCTATGTAGAGGAAGAATCGAAAGAAGAAGAAAGACATACAAAATTTGTAATTCAGACAAAGCTGGAAGATCTCCAGAAAGCTTTCCTTCCAAGTTAAGATTGGCTATTGATCTACAAATAGGAAACAAAAAAACGTTAAACAAAGGATTGTTGGAAGAAGCAACAAAAACAGAAACAGATTGTTACATTGAAACGACGCGGTCATTGATACATGTAATTCCAACCCAGTTGGTTCCACAAGGATCAGAGCCTTCCCAGCCCTCAGGAGACCTGGTCCATTCACTTTTCAAGGCTTGTAAAACAGTAGCTGCACCATGTGTATACCATTTCTTAAAGACTTTGAAAGACCTTATTCATCAGCTTATGTATATAATTAAGATATGCTTACCATCTAAACCATTTGTGAGTGCAGAAACAGAACAAGTTTGGAAGAAGAGCAAGATGAGGAGCATAAAGGCTCCAATTCTTGAACTCATCTTCAGACCTAAAAAGAATCTCTTCTTTCCTCTGCTTCTAATTATGTCTCACAGAAAGAAAGGAAAAAAGCATTTGGTCTACACAAGCTATTAGAGAATTTCTGAATTAAGAGTTACAGCCTCGCTTGCAAAACATGTAGACAATAATGTTAACAAAAAGGAGAAGACTTGAAATGAGAAATCATATTAAAAAGAAAATATTGACAATGGACCATATAAAAGCTTGGTCAACTTGAAACAGCTGATAATGGGATTGAGAGAAGGTTTCAATTTAAAAGGCTAAATGGGAAGGAACAAATTATGAACATAACATTAAACAACACATATGAGTTGTCCTGATGCGAAACTAGTGCGGGTCCCCTTTTTTATCTACTATATTAAATACACTCATTATTGTAATATTACAAAAATATCTCCAAACAAAACATTAGATATGGTTTCTTTGCCCAAAACGTTTCATCGAAGAGAGACTTGTGGATTAGCTAGAGTCGTGGTCAGCAACTATGCAGTGATATTGCTTTTTATAATAACAACATGGGATAAAGTCATGGTCGAAGAAAAAATCAGCACAAGCATTTACCAACTTGATATGAATATCATAATGCTAATTGCAACACTTATGATTTGATGATATATTGACCAGTACTCGCAAATTTAATTAAAGAATAATCGAGTAGGTATGAAAAACACAC